CCCGATGAGCACGGGAGGAGGAGGGGAACAAAGTTTTCGCCCGGCGTCGATAGCAGATTCACGAATGACCGATCATTGACACGCTGTGACTGTCATTTACCGCGCGACTATGGACCCGACGAATATCCGAGAGCGGCCGGAATTGCCAAGAACATCGGGAACACGGCGCTTTCAAGCACACTCGTTTCTTATCGAGGTACTAAATCTCACGCGCACATATCGCGAAGAAATAGCACACGGGGAGAATAAGTATTGCTACACAAAAAAATTTTGTTACACGAAGAGAAATAATTTTTTGCTGTTGCAGCGTAACGTCGTTGCAACGGTTTTGTGACAGATTTGTCTTCTCCGTGCACTCGAAGTCTCATCAGTAAACGTTCCGCGTAGAAGTGTGCAAAAATTCATTTCCATTAACATATGAGAGATATGGGAAGTTTTTAAATTATTCCAACGACGATAAAAAGTTTCAGGCGTACGGACGAATCGATATCCGGACGACGGATATGAAACGAACTAAAACGCCTGTCCCGATTGCTAAACTTTCCCGATTCGATATCCGATTATGATGATTAAATGCGATTATTTATTGTATACTTATATCTGACGATTCTCTGGCAATATTTACAATATTTTATAAATTGTACTTAATATAAAATAACACTTCTGCGATTTTTCAATAAAACTCGTGAACTGATTTGGACAGCTGTCAAATCTGACAGCTCTCCAATGATTGGGGATAACGCGAAGTTATACGAGCTAATACGATTTTATTTTATAATAGCGATGAACAAATATACGAGGGTGAGTCAATAATTAATCGCACTTGTGTTACGAATCTGTGTAGGTTGGTGGTAGACTTTTTCCCCCCGAGAGAATAAGGAAACTCGGGACACATTGGACTAACTGTATTGAAAATCAAAGAAATTACATTGGAAAATAAAGTGCATATAAATTCTCTACCGTTTTTGCAACGAATCTTATGAATAGAATGCGGATAATTATTGATTCATCCTCGTAGCAACGTTTCAAATTAATAAAACCGACCGACGAGAAAACGTGTTTTCAAAAGGGAAATTTTGACAAACATTTTCTGGTCGGTCTGTGTAATTCTAAGTTTCTTGCTTCGACGTAATCGATACTTAATCTATTGTCTTACTTCTCCCTCTACGACGGATTTGAATTCAATGTTCTCTCCGATAGGATCGTTAGCCGCGAACGTTGCTCTCGCATTTGAGTTGTAAATGATCCGGATGAAAGTAATCGGGATGTTTTGGTTTCGCGTGTCGATATCCCCGGTTGATTTATATCCTCGTCCAGCTTCGTCCCTCCGTTCGCCTTTAGCTCGATTGGCGATCCGCGTAGTTTATTTATATCAGACTTTTCGCTTTAATCAATATCCGCGTCGACGTGGCGCGCCTCCATTCTATTCGGGGAAATAATTGAATACAAAGCCGCGCCCACGAATTAACCCGCGCACGAGAAGCGCGTAGAATACATGCATTTTACGCACCTCCGTCAGAATCCAAAGTGAATCAAATAACTTGTATTTCGCCGCGTCCTCTCATTCTCTCGGCTGCATTGAAATCGAGACGAACGTTCTCGACGTTAAAATATTCAATCCGGACGTCGATGTTTCGGATCCACGAACGCAAAAAGGCGAAGCCAATGTGAGCCGTTGAATCACGATTTTGCGGAGTTCGCAAGCTCGTATGTATTAGAGAAAAAAAAGGAAATAGCACGACCCTGGCATTTCTGTACAAAACATGAAACACTATTTCGTCCGATTTTACCTCCGGAAGGCGGCATGTCGAACGGTGATCCTCATGTTTTATGCGGGGAAACTCCACTAATTTCCCATTCCCTAGGCATTGTGACATCGGAAGGAAGTGTCCAGCTCGGCGCATCATTTCCAAATATTTGTGCGTCGGGAGAGGGACAGCTTTAACGGAATCTTCCGCACGAGGCAGACCGAATGACAGAACGGTGGAGCAAAGAACGAGGAGATGAGGAACGATGGAATGGAAGAACGGTCGCTTGCAAACGACGCGCGAAATCGATTCGCATTATGTTACACATCTTCGTCCGGTCGTTACTTTCCCGGCGAGGTGGCGGCAACAGTTAGCTCACCGAGGAAGGAAACGGATCGCGCACGTGTAAAATTACGGGGTCTGCCGGCGCGCCGGTTTATTCGTCAATTAGTTGTGCATCCTCCGTACATAACCCTGACCATCTGCCTATTATCCGCTCCGGGATTCCAATAATCCCCGGCCCGCGCGTGCTTCCTTTGCGTGCCTGGCTTCGGCTCCCTGTACTAATTAATGATCCCGTGCCACCCGGAATTCTCCGTGCGATTACACGAGTGTTGCGGTACGCGGCCGGGGGAGTAATATCATCTGACGAGTCCGAGCTATTCTTTCGTCTCGCGTCGCCGGAGCTAACGAGCGACTCGTTAAACAGTTTCCGGCGAGATATTGCCCAGGGAGAATTTCCGCCCGCGAAACTTTGCGCCCGGAACACTTCGTGTTTTCAACTCGGAGAATCGGCCGTGGGCGCGCGAGGACGCGTATATATCTGCCTGATGCTTCGAGGCCTCATTTAAATCTCGCAACATGGCGGACGAGCTCCCCCGGATGAAAATCGCGATCTTCGTCGTCGCTTTTCGGAGCGACCTCGCTCGGAAGGTAGGTCACGTCGCGTGGAATTTCGCCCGGCGAGAAATCGGAAATTAAAATTCGGCGATCACCGCACTTTGCATTCGGCTGACAGCGAGGAGGACTTTTATCGCGCGATTAAAGAGCGGATTTGTACGCCGAGGGCGGGTGGGAACGATACTGGCGAAGGGAGCGTGTAATCCGACGTTGAGATTTTTTTTGCGATAAAGGTCGAGCAGCGCCGCCATAAAAGCTTTCGATGTCCCGCGAAATGGGTTCGAATCGATCTATGAGATTGTCCGTCCCCTCTTTCAGTCGTCTGGCGGTCGCGCGATTCCGAAAAATCCGGCTAAGATTTACGGCTTCGCGCGTGACTTCGCCGATAAAAAGGTGATAAAAAGTCATCTTCGATCGGGCGATACCTCTCACTGATTACGTCCGAGCGCGTTCTGATCTCTCGATGAATCTCTCCTGCGAATTAACGGGAGATGCGTATCACTCATCGTATATTCTCGATTAAAAGTCGAGCACATTAGCAGCGTTGGATCTGCTTAGGGAGTTAAGGAAAAGTTCGTCTCTTGCACGCTGTGCATGCCGCATTCTCAACCGCATTAAACGAATTAATGGAACGAATCACAGTTGACGCTTAACCGGTCGATTAAGTTAACCAGAAATTGTGAAAGCGGCCGTAAATCTACCGTCGAAGAGACATACTGCGATAAATTCTGGATTCCGAAATTCTGTTTTCGGAATTAGAGGCGAAGACTTAATTAAGCCAGGAAAGTCAGAGAGGCAAACAAACATACGCGACAGAAGAGCGATATTGACGCGCGGAATTGTGCGTGCGATGAGGATTGTTTTTCTTGCCGCGTCTCTACGTTAATTCGTTCGCGAATTGCGGCCCTTTAAAGTTTCAGCACGCTCACGTTAGGGAACGTTGGCGCGCTGCGTAAGTTCTCGGCTCACGTGTGAGCGGGATAAACGGCCACGTGGTAGATCGACCACGTGGCGGAGCGGCCAGCTGATGTAACGGGGCTGGGAATAAGAAGGGGGGAAGGAATTTTTCAGTCGTATTGCGTAACTCGGCAGGTGCCATTCAGTGCACTTCCGCAGGGTCGAAGTGACGGAAAGCTTGGATCGACATAATCATCGATATTCCCGTAGCGACTCGAAACAAAATCCATCGAAAGACAACGTCTTCCGTGCTTCTGACAGACGTGACCTCATCCTTCGAAATGAAGATTGACTGGTAAGATTAGATTATCGCGACAGAAAATATCGATCGTTCGCAGAGGCGGAGATATAAATTGCTCCGCGATGGAGAGTGAGAGAGCTTCAGCTTGCATTAGTAATGTATCGTAAATCAGGCCAGTTCTCCGTGCTTAATGGATACAAAGTGCGATTAAAAAGATCAAAGAAAAAATTAAAAGGAATTGAAAGATTAAAAAGAAATAATAATGAGCCTCATTTCGATACGACTCGGAATTATTTATTCTTTGGAGAAATTTGACGGAGAGAAGACAATATTAAAAAATTGCAGATGTGTATACTTAATCCTATTTTTTTTTTGCGAAAATAGCAAAATTAAGATACTATACTTGTACAATCTTATATGATTGTACATATAAACATGAAATTCTTTCTTCAAAGCAAGTGATATTTTTTTATTTATCTCTGCAGTGAAAAAAGGATTTGATAGTAAGTTAAATTAAAATTCGATGAATATTTGTCGACCAAATATTTGATTAACGCAACCAAATAATTTAGTTCCGTGTACTAAATATACGATATATAATATACGGAACTATATGTAGTGTTGTATATACAGCATTCGGAACTAAATGATTTGGTTGCAATAATCAAATATTCGGTCGGCAAATGTTCAATCAAACTTTAGTACTTACTAACAAATCTTTTTTCCACCGTGTGTAAAATCAATATATCATCTTCTTTTACATCTTCAATTATCTATTTTAAAAATAACAATTGCGATCATTTCTTTAAATTTACTTTTTGCGCTTCCAAAACTATCTATAATATCTGCATACTAATAATCCTATTTATACATATTTAAATAAGATTATAAATAATATTAAAATATCGGAAAACTGACTGGATCCTCAATGTGCCAAACTAAGTCAATAAAATATATGCGTCAACGAAGAGATAGATATCTCGGAAACAATTAGTTCACGGACTTATCAAGACTTTTACATTCATCCCCGCGAGTTCGACGTGCCAACCATTTAAGCCTTCACCTATAATTCCAGATCACCATCTATAACGGGGGGAAGAGAGGGGGGACGAGCAAATATTAGAGCAACGACATTGATTGATGGCAGCACTCACCGGTAGGGCTAGGTGTGAGCTCTTTCATCGCTATCTTCACGTGCAGATCGTAGCGCTGGAAGAGCCCCAGCCGCGGACCCCTCGTACTCCTCTGGAGCGAGTTGATAGCGGTGGTGACCGCCCTGGTGTAGTCCCTCACACCGAAGGACTTGTACGGCACCATCATGCCCACCTGTTACACAAATGACACAGTCAAGATGAAATTTCGGTGGAAGGTGCGTGTTACGCTTTCTCTCTGCCGCGCGTTCAGACGTGCATCGCGTTTCGCCCGGCAATTCTGACCGGCGGTAAACGAGAGAGAAAGAGAAAGAGAGAACGCGCTCGTCGTCACGGCTGGTGATAAATCGCTCTCCCTCTGTCAAACGATGGCGGAGCGAGATCGTCAACAGGTTGCATGAAATGATATTTCGCCGGAGTTTCGGCCGAGACGTAGTTGACGTCCGCCACCGTTTACAAATGGTTCGAGTTCAGGAGCGAATGCCATAAGCATGAGCGTCCGCTGACATGCGCGATCGCCTGTCGGCGAAGGCGCGCACATCCGTTGCACGTCGTATTATTTTAACATTACCGTCATTGGAACGCTCGTCCGCATTGGCACGCGTTGCACCTTGCGGCTGTGACGATGAACGCCTCATCGATCTGCCGTTCGTTCGTCAATTTGTGCAAATTGTGACTTTCTCCCAGTCGTTCCGCGCGACACGAACGTAATAACCAGCGAAATACGCGTGAGCAAACCTCAGAATTCGGTCCACCAAAGTAAGAGGGAACCACGTGCTGGCTTTTAACGCGTACTGTTATCCGTCCGTGTAATCGGTTCGTTGAATCGGACAATCGATTCTCGCTTCTTTGTCTGCTGTTTTCAATATCGCGATCTTGATAATGCGCTTTTATGCCTGCATAATAACGGCGATACGCCGACAATGGAGCCGATTACAGTTTTCCGCGATTACTACCTCTATTCAAAGTATCACCGATCCGCCAACAATGTACTAAGTGCTAGAAGCGATCAGAAAACTGCAGCGAGGGGGCGTCCCGTTCACTTTATTATCGCAAGAATAGACCAGCGCGCGTGCACCTGTTGCATAAATCGATCGGTGCGAATGAATAAAGCGATATAGGCTGAGAACGGACAGCGGCTTACGTTTCGGCTTATCAGCAGCGATAGCGTCCTTCTCTATCGTGGACATCGGCGCGGTCTATTGTTCAAGCAGTAGCACGTAGCAATTTCACCGATATCCCGCAGCCGCGACCACACTTCCCGCTCGGTGCAATTATTAAATACACAAGATCCCGAGAGATCTCGCTTTAATCACTTTGATGAAATTTGCGACGTAAGAAGTGAAATAAAATGAATTCTCTCAGCTCGATGTCTTGTATGCCACCCCGTCTGTTTGGGATATACGGCATTTTTAGGCGTGCGGATTTGATGCCGCACGGTACAAGTATTTTCCCAAGTGGCTACGTTCGTCATCTCCGTGTGCTTACTTCGGCACACGAAGGCATCGTTCATGCGCCGCAGCTATTAAGAAGAATTAATGAGTCCGCCACAAGTACTCTCACGTCGCTTAAATCACCACTTAGTCCCGAGATAAGTGGTGTGATTCCGATTATCTACGGTGAATCGCGCAACCGGAACAGATCGTCGTATATCTACCAACTAATTATGCACTTCATCCCGATGCGCAGATGGATGAGATGTTACATTGAACGAACGGACGGAGGACTTATAAATCGAGCTGTCGGTGCGGCCGGTTTGAAAGAGATCGCGAAAAAATGCATGAATTCGACGGCGAAACGAGGGAGACCGCGGAGAATTTCGCCCCGTGTAAGCCTCGGGCACAGAAGGTAACGAGGTAATCATTCCCGGCTAACTCGGACGAATTCATTAACATCCATTAAAGGTAATTATTTCCGAATACCCCGGCGAGACAGTAAGCCGAAGAATTTTTCCGTTTAAATGAGACTCCCGCGTGACGAGAAATAATTCGAGCGCGCGCACGCAGAAGGCACTAATTAATAGATCTTATTTAATTAACGAATTAAATAAGAGGCTTGTGCGAAATAATTCATCTAGGGGATCACCTAATTAAAACCGATCCCGCTGATGCCGGTGGAGAATCCGAGGCGAGGAAGTCGCGCGGAGCGAAGATCGCGCGATAAGTCGATTGCTTGCGGAATTGTGAAGACGCGGGAGGAAAAGTTCGCGGGAAGAATAATTAGGTACAGCGAAACATTGTGCATCTCTGCGTAAGGAAACCTCCTCGAGAGGAGATTTTCGCGGGAAGCTAACAGGCGTATCTATGGGGGTAATCAGGGAAGGAATTTTTATCCTACAATTTGCCCGTATCCTCGATTTTCATTTCACGAGCAATTCCCATCGTCGAATACGAATCCACGGCCGTCTCGAGCGGAAACTTCGAGCGGCCCTTGTCTACTCGTGGCTCTCCAATCGCGCGTATTACCTGTTAAACTCTCGAAATCCGTTGGAGTGAAAATTCATTCGATGCGGTAGCGAAAGTAGCGCCACTTGAAATCACAAGGATGAACGTTTGATTAAACTTATAGTTGGGATTGTTAATTGATACGAGCGAATGTTTCAATCTATTTCAGCGAATCTGCCCCCAAAGACCTCCGATGAGAGCACACACGTCAGATTTATTCGTCATATAAATCACACTTCGAACGGAACTATTCACTCGGCATAATTCTACACCGCAGAATATTCGCTCTACGTGAGCGAGAGGCCGTTCAAATTTGAGCGAATCTCACCGTCACTTCATGCTTCGAATGGAATTCGTTGGGCAAATTCAGAAAGCACCCAATGTATGATTTTCATTTGTTCACAATTGCTCTTTTGAGCCGAGAAACCCTTGAAAATCAGCCGAAACCCCCAATAAGTATTACTCGAACGGTTTCATCTCTTCCCAGAGCAATTTCACATCATTTAACAGCGACTTACTTTGAGGCCGGTTATGTTGTAATTGTTCCCCACAGAAGACTGCGGTGCGTAGGTGAAGCGTGCCGGAGGCGCGGTCGTGGTGGTGGTCGTGGTGGTCGGTAACGAGCGCTGCCTCGTGGAATTGGAGAATCTGCTGCCGCCGATGCGAACCCCGGAGTTGCCCCTGCCCACGTTCAAGCCCTTGGGGAGCGTGCCCCTGTCGCTGGTGCCGATCTTGATGGCGCTGCCGCCTCTGGTCACGTTGCCGCCCGACAGACTGAGGGCCAGCAACGGTGACACCAGCAGCCAGAGGACGCACGCGATCCTCATGGCGGGCGATTCGTTTGGCCCGTTCGTTCGTTTCGCCCCGACGTGCCCCTCTCGTTTATCTTTATCGCGACAGGGCGATCCGTCGACCAGCGACTCGAGCTTGCCACCGTCCCGACGTCGTCGTCGCGCTGCCTCGGCACCTCGGGCACCGCGCTTCCATCTAAGACGAGCTGCTCAGCGCAGCGACGGCGCGACGCAATCGCGTGGACGCGCGCCTCCGCCGACGTGGCATCGCCGTCTCATCGCGTTGCGTACCGGTGAGCCCTGCAACAGAGATTTACGGGCCGTTCATTGATAAGGCGCAGTGAATAACATACTCCGTTGCCGCCAGCTGCGGCACTCGAGCCTTGAATCACGCGAAGCCACTCCGGTGAGGAACAGACGCGATTAAACGCGCAATTTGCGGCGAGTCGACGAGCCGAAGGTATCCCGCGAGAAGTCGCGCGCCGATACTTCTTGCTCGAGACGAGGAGCACTCTAATTAAGAGGCCCCGTCGTTCGTACAGCTGTTGTCCTACTTTAACGTCGGCGGCAAATACGAGAAGGATTCATTTCGGGGGAAGGGTCGCGCTTAATTGCCGGGCTCGCCCCGCCCGTCCCGCCGTTTTCGTACTATCATCCCGACCGAGAGTTCGCAGTTCGCCAAGTCCGGGATCGACGCGTCGCCGGGACGGCGTGCGCGAGTATCCGTGAATCTTCACGAGCGACTCGATTCAAAGCTCCCTCGCTTTTACGAGCGAATCGTATTTCGAAGCGACGCACATCCGCGCACGCGAACCATTTCCCGGCGGATTGGCAGATCGATCGGCCATCGGCCGCCTGTCATCGCAGTCACGGATGCGAAATGCCCTTCGCTTCTGACAGGTCGCGTCTATCGGAGTCTGTTGGCTGATGGCGAAATCTGTAAAATCTAACTCAGCCCCCCGCGCGCCCTGCCGATTCGACGGACGATCTACGGCTTTGACGAACGGCTTCGAAACTGTTATTCCGGCTGGTTCTTTTGCGAATTTTCCTCTGATTTCAGTCTCAGATGGGGAAAGGGAGGGAGAGTAAAGAGAGGGGGGAGGAGGATCTTTCGGCAGTGATTTTTTCGGGCTTCTCCTCGTGAGAACACTTGCGCGGCTTTCTAAAGAGCGAGCTTCCAAAATCCCGTAACGAACGAAACTTTCGGTCGCGCACTAAGTTCGACGACGACCAGTCGGCGATTCTCCCCCCGAGCGAGGGAGAAAGGAAGCCCGGCCGGAAAACTTTCAAGCTCCGGGATCGAACGCATCGCGGGCACGAAAATATCGGAATTACCCGCATTCGATTTGTTCGCGTGCGGAGAGTCATTTTGTAATCGATATCGCGTCGATTACGCGTCTAATATCTACTCTCATCTATCCGTTAACCTCGCGCGGCAACCCCTTAATAAGCGGACCGTTTAAATTTTTAATTGGGGTAAAAGTTCTATAATTAAAGCGACTTGGGGGTGTGTATAGTCGACGCGAGGAACAGGAGGGAGAAAGTTTTTTAATTTTCAGCTTCGTAAATTTTGCAAAAGCGGTCACGATTTTCGCGAGATTTTCCCACGCATTCGGAGCCTCTGTCTATGCATCTTGACCGCCATTCCAGAGAGAGAGAGAGAGAGAGCGTAACTTTTTTTTTTTGAGTTTTCTGCATCTCACGGTAGACTCATTTCGCGGAACTTGCCAGCTCCTCTTGCCGGTATTCCCTTTGCACCACAGAACGCACTTATTGGTTAGCCTTCTCACGTTGTGGTCGGACTTCCAGGTTCCGACGAACTTCAGTTATCTAACTTCCGGCGGCAAGCACGAGCGAGATCATATCATTCTTGCCGGCTTCGAGTCGGCAGCCGCAGCAGAAAGAACATAATTTTTAACCGGTCGTACGGATATTCCGCACGGAAATTATGGAATACGAGCGGAACGACGTCTATATTACTCATTTACTTGAACTTTGCTCGACGTCACGGCCTTACGATATCGCCGAACTTCATTATCGTCGGTAAAGCGAGCTTTCATTAACCGGGCGTGAACTCGAACTGCGCATAAAATAAATGACGCAATGCTGGCACAAAAATGATATATCGTCAATACTCCCGGCGTTATTTATCGATTGTGTGAATCCGCATCGGGAGTGATGTTTGTTTCCACTTTGACGCGTTGACGGCTATTTCATTACTGCAACGTTCGTAGAGCGCACGTGCGTAAAACGAAGAGAGAAAGCGAGAGAGAGAGAAAGAGAGAGAGAGAGAGAGAGAACCTTGTCGATTCCGGCTGCAATTTATATTTCGATCATGAACGATATAACACAATAGCCGCTTTTTATAGACGTCCGGTTATCTTTTGCGCGAGCTGCCATTAATCATTGGCAGAGTAATAGGGCGATTTACATGGAAATTATAATAATAGAAATGTAACGCGCATTAGCATCGGGCGCAAACTCGATTCGTAATTTATGGCCGATATGTTTTACATGCGAACAATTTTAATCCCCGGCATTATACATTCAAATGCAAAGCGCACACGGGTAACCGGACGGTGCGAATTCAATCGCGATGCGTTCCATTGAAACATCCCTATGTTGTAGCGGCGGTTTTTATCTCGAAATTATGCCAACGTGAATCACACGCGAACAACGCGAAATCGTCTACTCTCATCTCTCTCGCTCTCCATAAAATTCCGTATAATTACGCGAAAGTAACATATGTAATGTAAAACGTAAACAATGTTTGGCGATTTCGCTCAAAGAACAATGACGTAGTCATAAAGCTCGGTTCGTTTGATTTTTTTTTTGTTTCATCGAATCGGACTTCGTCGTACTCAACGGAGGGAAAAATATTCGCTCACCAGGTAATCGCCGTCCTTGTTTACGACTCTCCGCTAACATTCGGGCAGCGAAATATTATCGATATTATCAAAGTCGGGCCGAACATTTTGGCTGACCTAATAAATCGCAATGGGAGATTCGATAACGAAATACAAACATGACACCAAAAATAACAATATAGAAAAACGTTGTTATCTGGCCTACGAGAGCCAAAACCGTTGTTGTTTGAACATCTGTGTGTGTGTGTGTGTATAGTGATTTTATCAATTATAATTTATAAAAAACGTTTCGGTCCATTGTAGACACTTCTCAGCTAACGAAAATAATTAAATGCAATAATCGGTTCCAACAAAAATCTTAGGGAAAAGCTTTTCATCAATATTCGTTCAGATTATTTAGAACCACGAATGTTTAAACTCTATGTTGTACATCCCGCAAATGTTCATTGGTATAATTCGAATTTTTAATTTTCTATCCATTTTTTTAATGAGATGTATTATACATTTCGCGTTATAGTACAGTGACACCTATATTAATGGAAAACTCAGAAGGATAAGCAGTCTTATACAACCGCAGATAAGAAGACCGTTATAAACAACCTGGAGATAAAAGGATTCCGTTGCTTTTATCCAGGTAATGGGTTAACGACTCGAGAGAGAAGGAGGGAGGGAGGGGGGAAGGGGGCAGCAGTGGACAACGTAGTGACAGTTACGGTATCTCGCGACATAAATTCTTCCGAAACTTTTTACGAGATACGTACGCCCCGTCAGACCTGTCCGAGTTTATTGCCAAAGTTCACTTCGCTCGCTCGCTCGCTCGCTCTCTCTCTCCTTTCTCTTTCGATTTCTTTCGGAAGGGGATTCTACGGGATCAAATATTTGCTCACTGTCTCCAGTCGTGGACACAGGAAAGTCTAATGATCGTCCCTCGCGAGCTCAAACTTCTTCATTTTAGAACACGCGCCATTTAACTTGAAAACCACGCGACCGTACGTTCTTATCCGTACGATAAAATCTGTGAGGAAAACAACCGAAAGAGAGAGAGAGAGAGAGAGAGAGAAAGGAAAGAGTATCTCGCATATTTTCACCAACACTTTTATTTTCAAAGTTGGATTTTATATCGATTTTCCAAAGACTCCTAGAAGCTTATATTCTCTCAATACACAATTTTCTCTCACGTAATTTGCATTTATCATTGAGTTTACAACAGTGTACGTTCGCTAACATTCCGCTTGAATAGTTGAGCTCGACGCTCTTCACAGAGTGAGAAATCATTGGATAAATCATTCCGAAAAGGATAAACGTGTTTTTTCGCAGAAAATCGCGTATTGCAAATATTTACGAAATGGTTCAGTAACGCGATACGTATCCGGTGGCGATCGACGAGCCGACGGGCGATTAGATTGGTCCGCCAGCGATATTGGCACAAGTATATGGCGACGGCACGGTTGACTTTCCGCCGCCACGTATGGCTTTGACCTGCGTTTATCGTTCCCCACGTATCAGGTTTCGCGATATTGGACCACGTCCCTTATGGATGGCCTTTGGTAAACCGAGCACCGTCTGTCGCGGATTCCTGTGGCCCGGTTCTATCTCTATAAACCCTTATACCTTCTATTAAGGCGGCAAACTAACCGCGCCATGTAAGAGGAGTTTCTGCCCGCCGCTATCCATTAATCTATTTGTGATAATTACACATCCAATTAACGAGCGGCCCGGCTTGCCTCGCCTAACCTTAACTAGGCTCGGCTCGATTGTTGCCGAACAGCTCGACCGGCTGCCGAATATCTGGGCGCGTTATCTCGGATCATTTTCGTGGTTAACCCAAACCGGCTCTGGTATGTACCGGGTCAAATCGCAGTTCGTAAAGCGAATACTCCTCGACGTAAGGACAACGAATGATGGAAGGGTTTCGCTTGGGATTTTTTGAGGAAAATCCCGCCCGCGATCCGACGAT